TCACAGATTATTTTGTCTCAGAGAAATGAGAGATCATGAGACATGTAATGTGACATTTTGCGGAAAATTCCAATCGGGATTTTAGCTAATAAGCACTTAGAAACAATTTCGCTGCTAAAGTGCAGAATCGCCCACTTATTTGTTTGGCGCTTTTTACAAGAGTAAGAAGAATTAGATTTTTGTCAATTTTACTTGACTTTCTAAGTGAAAATATGTCGATGCGTACATGGATAAAGTCAAGAGTGTGCGCAATGCCATTTTTGTGCAATTTTGGGATTTTTTTTAAGGGAAAATAGCTCGACGTGTACATGGATACCGTGTATATGCAATTCTTAAAAACGCGGCAAGCAGTGGACGATTCTACACTTTCTCCCGATTTCGCACCTAATCTTCGTCATGATTAAGCACTTTTGTTCCATAAAAGCATAAGTGTAATTCGGCTAGCAGATTGTTGGAAAAAATGTTGAGTTGAAAAAAATAAATAAATAAATAAAAACGCCTTTACTTCGTGAAAACAAAATGGCGTCACCCCCCCCCCAAAATTAGCAGGTTGCTGCTGTAGCAGGTTTGGTCGCCAAAGTTTCGCCAAAAAATCGCCAAGTTACCATAATTTGAAGATTAACCGAATGCACTAGTGAAGTAAAGGACTGCGGTTTTACATAACTTCTGAGTAAGTTACTCGTTCAAATTGAAATAATTCTTGCATTTAAACTTGTGTATTTCATATAAAGATTTAACTTGAAATTAATGTAAATAATTACTGAGAGAATTATATTTTTGTAGTGTAGTCTACGTGAGATGATATCACTTGGGGTCACGTGATATGAACTGGAGAATCAGGACGTTGTACCATGAAAGCATAGTAAATTCTTAAACTAACGTTTTTTACTAGTATGTCAAAAGTGGATGAAAAACCAATGAAAATTTCGGATTTGCCCAGAAGTGAAGAATCTGCCAGATTTTTTCAAGCGAAAGGCGTTTTGCCTAAAATTGCTACTTGTGATAATAGTCATAAAATGAGATTATATTTCGGAGACGAAATTTAATGGCGCTGCAGCCTTTCAGCTGGTCGCAGTAAAATAATGTTCGGAAAGGTACATGGTTTGAGTCATGGAGATCGAGTTTCTTGAAGTGTGTGAGGTTTATTTATGGTTGGAGCGAAAAATTAACTTCAGTTAAATGGCATGAAAAGCACTTGGAAATCAGTCACGGAACAGTTGTGGACTGGAATAACTACACACGAGAGGTTTGTGCAATTACTTCTTTTGCAGCAAACGCGTTTTTATTACCGCTTGCCAAAATCGTCTAAAAAATGTGCTAACAGCCTCTGTACATAGTGCTTATATTCTTATTTTTACTCTTTTTATTTTACTCCAGATTGTTGCGTTTCTTCAATACTCAAGAAGCATTTCTAAAAGCTAGCACCAGGGAGGGTAACCTCTCACGTGACCTACGGACTTCTTTATTCAGCCTTATTGTAGGACTTTCTGCACTTTCAGGACTGAAATTTCTGAAATTCCTTATATTTATTGCATTGAAAAACATGGGAAAATAATGATTTTTCTCTGTTATAATCCATTATTTAATTATTTTACTCATATCATCATTTCTGGACAAGTATTCGTTAAACGAATTAGAATGTTTGATTCCGCTCACGTAACAAGCGACTGCTTACTCTAAGTGTGGTCCGGGATACACATTTTGGATTTGTATATATATATATATATATATTTTGTGTTAACATTTGCTCTGTTCGACATGAGGGGTAAAGGCCTATTAGTCTACTCTCGGGTCTGGGTAAAATTTGTGAGACAATCATTTTGGCCATTCTTAGACGTACTGCCACCGGAGCAATTCGGGTTCGGCAGTAAACTTTCCACGACGAAACAGTTAGTCAGACTTGTAGAATTCTGCAAAGATGCCCTTCACCATCGGATTAATGTTGCCATCCTCATGCTAGACGTGGCAAAAGCGTTTGAGCGCGTCTGGCATGGCGGTCTCATCTACAAACTAATTAACTTCAATATTGACAATATTGATCGAACTGATAGTCTCGTTCATTAGCAGAAGAAAATTTACAGTGTCTATCGGAAGTGACTTTTCAAATACAAGAGCTATCAACACTGGGGTCCCCCAAGGGAGTATTCTTGGCCCCGTACTCTATTTATTGTATATTCCTGACTTCCCTTAGGCCCACCTAGATAGGAATAATTTCTTGGGATGCTACGCGGACGGCACAGCCTTAGCTGGAAAGTCCGCCAACGCAAATCACGCAGAAAACTTCAAAATATTATGCCTGAGATAGAAGCATGGTGCACTAGATGGAGGATTTCTATTAAGGCACAGAAATCTCAACTGTTAATTGTAAGAAGGAAACACACTAGAGCTCCCCTTAAAAGTAACTTCACCTGTTTAATGAAGAAGTCCCGCAGGTAAATAAGGCCAAGTATCTGGGAGTTGCGTTGAATAATAAACTAAATTGGAGTGATCATATCACAAATGTGACCAAAGAAGTAAACTTTATGTATATTTCTACTTCTTCAGTCTGACACGGACACTTCTGCTTTGGCGAAAGTTTCTTTCTTAACTCTAGAAATTCTTTGGCTGTTGTGTACGAAACACATGGGTAGTCTGTTATAGATTTACCCATATTATTACTCTCAACGCATTTTCATTATTCTAGTATTAGCGCATTTAAACTTGGCAAATAATTTTCGAGTCCTCATTGCAAGAATACAATTTCTTGATATATAATTTACTTCATCTATGTTTATTAAGATTCAACTTTATTATGCATTTTCCATATAGCAAATAACATTTTCATGTTTGTTTTACTTATATACTAATTAATTACTAATTAATACTAATCTAAGTCACGCAAAAGCGCTTATTCTTCTATTTCCAGCCAAAGGCCTCAGAGCACAATGTCAGCTAGAAGTTAAAACTTCTAGCGGTTGATGCCTCAAGAACCACCGGCGATGTCCGAAATAGATTTAATTCCAGGAATCGTATGCGCTGCTGCAGGTAACCAAGCAAATCCTAGTGTTTGGGACACTGTCCGCCAGGACATGGTCCGTCGCTGTCACGCATGTATCGCTTGTAATGGCAGAAATTTTGAACATTTTGAAATGAAGTTTATGATCTATTACAATATTTGTGAGCGTTAAATATTTCTGGTTCTCTATGTCTTGCGTCCTTTCATTTTATGTACCTCTGATATCAATTTATCATGAAGTTTCCGGTTATGGATTGCTATGCAGTTCTTTCGATGTGCCCTACTTCTCATTAAAGTCTGTACGAATATTTATAGGACACCCTGTATAATAATAATGATTTCAACTTTTATGTTTCGTTTAAGAAACTGAAAGAATTACTTTCATTTGCAATATTTTTACAATTAAAGATAATTTACTGAACTAAATGTATAGAGATTACTGTGGCCAAATAATGTTTTGTGTCAGACACTCAGAACATCAGTATTCATCATTCATTATCTCAGACTGTGATAATGACGTGCTGAAAAAACAAGGTTAAATAGTGCCATTAATAAAGTACGCATAGTTTGTTCACAAAAACACGGTAATATAATAAGCCGGTTTACATATCATGTTTAGAAGGCTGTATTTTGTAAGACAAAATTGTTCAGAAGATCTATAAATTGTGTTTTAATGAATGTTTATAAATAAATAAAAAAAATGTCGAAACTCAGATGAAATTGATTAAATTTTATGTACCGACTCTCAAGAATCTGAGTCTGACAAAATCTGACCTCTGAAACCCAGATGAAAGTAATATCAGATAAATCTGATTCTGAAGCTTCTTTGGGACTTATAGTTCGTATCCCAGTACCTGTTGACTTATCATGTTTAGAAAATTGTCCAGAAGATCTATGACTTGAGTTTTAATGAACTTGCTTTTCTTATCGCTACCAACAGAACAGCTGACCCCATCGCTTCTCGGCCTTCTGGCTAAGCTCAACGTGTAGTTTTAATGAACTGGATTTTCGTAACGAAACAGAAATTCTAAAAGAATCTTTCGAAACTCAAATGAAATTAATGTTAGACAAATCTGATTTTTTGACTCGCTGACGAAATCTAAACTCTGAAACTGAGAAGAAACTAATGTCACATAAATCTGAAATTCATGAAGAAGATAAAATTAATGTCAGATAAATCTGATTCTCAAGCCACTTTGGGTATTACAGTTCATATCTTAGTACCTGAAGCTGATACAGAAACAGGTAACGCCAGATTTATTTAAAATGTTATAACGAAAATAATAGAAGAGGTTTTTCTGTTGGGAATAATAAACAAGCACATAAAACAGCTATATTCCCGATCCTAGTTCAATGTCTGTGAGAAAAACCATCAAAGATTGAAGAAATGCCGGATATACAGAAATCTCTCCGGTCAGTTGCCACAGTTCATATTGCTAGAGTTACGGTCAGGAAAAACGCATGTTTTAACAAAACTGCATCTGTTTAAGAAATAATATTCTGTGCAAAACCAAATTCTATTTTAGCCCTGCCATAATAAATGATTTTATTGTGTTTTTATTTAAACAGCATTTTGCATGCTGTTTATTCAGTCAAACTGTTTATTTTGCATTTTAACTATCTATGGTTAGTTAATTTATTGAATAACTCGTTAGTCAATAAAATAATTAGTCAAAGTGTGGAATTATGAATTTATCACACACGTTAACCGAATTGACTAGTTATTTCATGAAATAATTGAATTATATACCTTATCTGTGACCTGTATATATTCCTTTAGTTCATTTTTTCGTACTTGTCAACTTGCCATCTTATTGCGTTGTAATATATAATACTGGATGTGTATTTATATTTAATGCTACAGTAATCGTGTTCTAATAATATTTGCATTTTTAAACTAGGATTTTTAATTTCCTTTGTATACGTATTCTTACGAGAGTCTTAGATGTTGAAAACAGAAAGATACGCAAAATCAAACCCATATTACATACAAACGCATTTTATGAATAAAAATTCTTTGTTGAAACATTTATTTCAAAATTTACAAGATGAGATAAAGATGTAGATTAAATAATGGTTTCAAGATAAGTAGATAATTAGAAAAAATCAAATCAGAAACATACAATAATTAATTAGTATTATTTATACATGAATACAATACAGTATTGGCCCGAATATAAAACATTTTTTAAGGTTTTTTCCGAAAAAAAAGAGAGAGAGAAAAGAAAAGAAAAGTCTCGTAGAGAAGATGACGTCACATACGAATGTTACAATAAATACTAGCATTATTATAGACATGGTATACTCGTTACTTATGGGTTTTTCAAAAAATCAAAAAGTGGAACTTCAGATGCTGACATAAACTGTTTACTTCGAGTTTTTTCAGATTCAGATTTTTCAAAAAGTTTTGAAGGAAGAGAAATGCTGAAAATAAAAATGAAGAAAGTACTTTTAATTGTCATTCAAGGGACACTATGCTAGCCATTTCAAGGAATAAAACTGTCATATTTGGGCCGTTACTTTACACAAAAGTATATAAATAGGCAATGAAATAATAACAATAAATTGTATTATAATAAATAACTAACAGCTCTTATTATCAGCCAGGAGGGTTAAAGCACACTCATATATTACATTACATTACACATGCTATTTCTACATTCAAGCAAAATTCTGTTTTAAATAAGTTAGAATTTTCTTTAAATGCTTTTCAGGATAAACTTTAACATGAGAATGGAATTTTTTGAACTGTTTGGTACTTCAAAGGAAGTAAGAATTATTAAATAGCGTCTAAAATTGGTAATAAAAAGCAGTAATTAGCAATAAAAAGGGAAATTTAAAAATTTTGAGTGGATCAAATTGAGCATTTCATTTTGAACACTAATCACTTAAGATAGATATAATTCTTGTACATACTTGTATTTCTTACATACACCAAAGTATAATCCATCAAGAAGTATTTAAAAAAACCTGCTACATTTAAAAGCCAAAAGCATTAAAAAAATCTGTTTTTAATGCTATAGTTGTTTTTAATGTTGTTTATAGATTTCGCATTGCTAAATCGAAATATGACTTTTATGTTTTATTATCACCCACATCTTAAAAAATCACCCTTTTCAAGTCATATGGGTACTATATTTTATTAAAATTATAGAGCTAACTATAACAGTACTTTTTTAATTATCTCATGATCAGAACTTCAGCTTCAATAAAAATATTTTTCTGCAAAACACTTTCTGGAAAATGATGGGTGATATAACATTATGAATGCCAATTTTGGAGTAAACCTGTTAAAAATTATTCACAATATCAATCAGATTCGAAAGATCATAATTTTGTTTCAGAACAGTATCATTTATTTGACCGTGCAAAAATTTACGCAAATTCCAAATTACTTAAGCTTTACATAAACTGAGAAATAACTTTTCTATACATAATTCGATATTTTCTGATTATCCGCAGAGACGCACTGACGTTTGGAAGAACTGCCAAAAAGTAAATATCGGCCATAAAAATGTTTTTGCCTACCCTTCTTTAAATTCCTTGTAAAATGCTTCTTATTACTTATGAACAGAACAGTACCTATTAGGCGTAAAATTAACTAAACAAACATTTTCCGTTATTTCAAACAGTCAATAATGAAGTGGTCACTTTTCGTGGGGTTGCGGATAATTAGAAGGTACCAATAAGAGCATTTATTTTATACATGTAATGAGTTAACAGATTTGTCTCTTTAACATGCATTTTATACAGCGATTAGCTAGAATAATGGAAAGAAATTAAAAATTTCAAATTAGGTTAGGTTATTCAAATATGGCAAAGCACACAAGGAATTATCCATCTAAGGGGAAGGATGCTTTCGTGGAGGAATTACTAAGGAAAAGTGATTCATGTTCACGCTATATATATTGACAACCAACCATGCAACCAGCCTGTTTGTTTGGGATCGATCTGGCAGTATTGAGCAGTCTTAGCCATTCGGCCATTGTTAAAAACTTTTAACAGAAGCGAATAAACAAATCTTTTATGTGACTAAGCCTGCGTCGTATACTATATTATATAATAACAGAATTATACGCAAGATAAAATTCTACCTTTAATTTCTAACAATCTTTATGCCTCTACCATATCTCTTTTCAGTTTAGTTACTTCGAACCTATCCCAAAGATAGTAATATGCACGTCATAAATCTTTCTGAAGTTCGTTATTTGGAAATCAGTTTCAGTTATCTGATTCTTACATATATAATGTTACCGAAATTCATACCTACGTAAGATATCATCTACTTTTTCCAAATTAAATCGAATCTAACTAAAACAAAAAGAATAAAGACATATTATATCCCTTTGCGGGTAGTATAAAGTATAGAGGTATTCAGCAGCTTTTCTCTTTGCCTCCGTATTGAATTATACCTCATAATAGGCGTCATCATGCGCTTTGCTATTTTAATAGCGCGGTTTCGGTTAAAGCGAAGCACACGTTGATTATGTGCCTAAGGGAATGTCCTCGTGTAGGACTTTTCAAGGAACAAGGAAAGCTAGCTTGTATCCACATTGCATATGGGGAAAAAACGCGAAAACTCTCATACAATTAGCCCATCTGCCGGTATAGGATTGGATTACCAGCATTCGGCGATCTTATTCGCTCGGTTACGGATGGGCTGTAGAGATCGGAATGGAATTCAACTATAGATTATTAATTGTTACGTTACGGTTATGAGAGCACGAGGGCTATCTGCATGAGGGGAGGAATGCCTTCACGAATACTTCCTAAGGAAAACAGGTTACACAAGCGAAAATCACGAAAACAAACCATGCAGCCTGCCCGTTTTCCTTGTATCGAGCCGAGTTCGTACTCCCAGTATTCATCACTCTTAACTACTTAACCACAGGTTATTTATGCCCTATAGATTATTAATGATACAAACTCTGGTAAATTGTCCATTATACGCAGTCCAGGAAAGTATCATAGCTCGTAAATCTTCGTGGCAGAGCTATTCGTGAGCTTCTACATGAGAAAACATTTACAAAAACAGCTAAAAAAGTACAAGTCACAAGGCCTAATATTTGCAAAGGTATTTCCTTCAAGAAAACAATTAAGAAGGAAGAGCAGCCAACAACTGCATTACAATCTAATTGTCTGCACTGTAGCACTTTGTCAGTCGATGAGCAGAACAACACTTCAACTATTCAAAAAGATATTTTAAACAGTATCTGAAGTAAAGCACACGAGAACTGTTTATCTCTGAAAAGAATGGATGCCTTCGATGAGGACTTACAGACACATATTTCATATATTTACGTTACACACGAGTAAAAACTCGAAAATATCCACATAATTAATCCGTTCGTCTAGTATCAAAACCATATCAAGGAAACAATTTTCTGCCGTCGATCATCGATGAACTGGATTTCAAAATAAACAAGGCAGGATTACTTAATTGCGGCAAAGCGCATTACAGCAATTTGCCTAATATAGGATGGATGTCTTCATAAACGATTTTCTAATTAACCTGATTAAGGAATAAATTGTAATTATCCAATAGTGCTTCTCCACTTAAGTTTGGCTTATAAAGGACGTGAACTCTCCCTCGTAAGCTGAAAATACTGTTAAGTCGAAAAATGTAAATAAATGATAATCTACCATCTGTCACAGATGAGTCAAACTTACTTCGGTATCGTCTAAGGTGTACATCAGCCTAAAAACTAGGCCTCATCATTTAGCAGTCTGTTTCATAGTAAATTTCTAAATATCTCATGTAAGTTCTTGACTACTGCTCAATGAGAGAAAAATAAAGAAGTTTAGGAAAAAAAAAAACTCATTATCACTGTGCTCATCAGAAATCCCAATGAGATTTAAAATATTTTACTCATTGATTCTAAATTTATAGCTGATTGGCAGAATTGCTATAACTAAACAAGAGGATCGTTTTCAGTCTCAGTCGAAGAGATGAGGTTGCTGGTAATTGCCACAGATCAGCGGTTCTCAACGGTTTGACTAACGCTCACCATCTAAACAAAAAATTGAAAGCTTCTAGTACCACCACTGCATTTTTCAATGATTATTTTTCGGTTCTTTAATAGAAATATTACAAAAAATACATTTTGCCGATTGCGCAACCTATTGGCTATTTGTATTAAATATGCACACATAAAAATATTAGATTAAAAATTCGTTATCATTTTAAATATCAAAATTTAAGCTGTAATACTTTAATTCTAAAATTTAGTGGGAAATTTGGGACTGTTTAGGAGAGATCAATTTCTTTATGTCTGGTCTTATTTCATTTCATTTTAACCGTAAATTAGGATCCACTTTTAATTTTATTCTGTATCTATTTTTCAAATATAACATGGAAGAAAATCCTTGTCCACACAAATACAATTAGTTTGTGCAAAAAGACAATAAAAATTTAATAGCTTTATTTGAAATGCCTTTAAATGTTTATTTATTTATTTATTTATTATTATTATTATTGTTATTATTATTATTTTGTTCAGCCAAATATTAAAAAGGGTGTTATTTTTTAAATCTTCTGTTAAGAAATTTCTATCAAGTGTTCTTTTTCTTCACGTAATTTTTTAATTTAATAGTTAAAAATACTTTGTTTCTTTACATACCATCTATGTTTCTCTTACGTACCACCGGTTGAGAATCGCTGTCATAGACACTTACTGATGAAAAAGTGTGGGAAGATATCCAACTTTTATTTACAGAATTTGATTCTTGCTCCTTTTGTTTTTATAACAAACAGGAGCATCTTTTGTCTGAAACCGTCTTTTTTCATACGAGCTGCACACCTAACTCATACTAAAAAAATAACCTCGGAAAATACCGATCTATAATCATCATCCAAATTTCGGAACACGATATCTATTAAATGCATGCGACATTTTCACCATATTAAATCAGAAAAAAAAAGTCTAACTACACAGCGTCTTTATGATCATATGCATTACTCAAAGACATATCAAACAAGATTATTAATTAAGAAGAAATCATCTGAATCTGGTTGTTGGCTCCAAATAGCTTCTCAGTTGGTTCAGGGCTTATATATAGACAAGACTGTGAGATCATCGCAAGCATGGGCACAGACCTTTAGAAAACCATCATAGCAGGAACTATTCAACGACAATTTTTTAGACCCATTAAACATTCTGAAAAGTAGTGCAACAGCCGAGATAAAACTGCAGACAATATAATCAGATAAAGTATCTTCCTTCAAAGGATAACTTTTTCATATATAGGAAAATGCATATATAACGCATTTAATGAGTATATAAATGTCGAAAACGGTAACCATGAAGTTCTAAATCACAAACCTAAATATAAGCAGATTTCTGAGAAATACTGCAACTATAGTTGCATAGTGTTATAACACTATGATATCCTTTATGTTTATTTCTTACGAAACTTACTTATATATTTATTTCTTACGAAACTTACTTATATATTTATTTCTTACTTTATAAAAGAGATAAGATTAATTGATAATATTAGGTTGTTTGCCTAACGGAGGGGATGCTTTAATAGAGAGCTTTCCAAAACAAAACTGGCTCATATTTACTTTATATATATACAAAGCCAAAACAATGCTTTTGCTGCTCGACACTCAGGTAGAAAAAAATTTCATTACATTACTGGCGATCATAGCACAGAACATTTCAGGCTACCTTCTTACGGAGAAAAGGTGCCTTCCTCGAGTACTTTAAGAAAAACTGTTTCATATTCACGTTCCGTCCTAGAAGAAATATTTTACAAAACAGTTGAAATAAATTATCTTTAAAAATCTTAAAAGCATTTGCTTCAAATTACATTAAATAATGTTCAAAATGTTCATAATTTGTCAACAGCTTATTAATGAAGATGTTGATAAAGATGAAGGGCAATTCCATCAGTCAATCTACCGATTTAGGTCACTAAATAATTTATCATAACTTACATTGAACATATAAAAATAATGTAGTGAAACATTTTTGCTATTGCTATTCAAGCAATGGTGCATTTTCAGAATTATAATATTAAATTAAAATCATACTTTTAGTCTATAAATTTTCGAATAAAAATATTCAAGCTCTTTAACAAAAATCTTTTGAGATGAATCTCTCATTTCTGTATGAGGGAGATAAATCTGTCGGCTGCTATTGTATTTACCTTTTTCTATGATTTGGTGTAACATTGCAAACAGTTTCCGGATCTAGAAAGACTTTCAAAGAGCAAGGATGGCTTTGCACTGCGATAATGCAACATAACGTGGTAAGAAAGTCGAAAATTTTAACATTTCAGATATAAAAATGAATATTGAGCAATTCATGATAAAACACTTCAATCATTCAAGAAACGGCAGATAAGTTCCGACCAACTGTTTAGTAAAAGTGAAAAAATAAATCATTTTAAATCAGACTTTTAATGGTATTTTAAATTAAACTTGCAAGAATCTAATTAACCTCTTTTCTAATTGTATAAAATATTTTTTCTATGAAAAATCTCTTTCGTTTAGAACCTCTAAGTTTCTGATTGCTTCTTATTGTCAGTCGGAAGCCTCCTTGATATGACTGGTACCTCAAAGCATCTTCCTCGACTGCCCAACAGAGAGCAGGTTTCAAATCATCGATAACAACACTGATCATAGCTTTCTGATCAGGCTTTACCAATAAATTGTTGCGAAAATGTATTACGATTAAGGAATCTAGAGACTTCTCTCTAGTTTCTTCAAAGAAGATATTTTCGAACTCATTCGAGACGTCACAGAAGATTTTCAATTTCTTACCTATTTCTTTACCATCCGGCTCTAATTTGATTTGTATGCCAGTGATCCGAAAGGATCCTTGGAATGATTCAAATTCAAGATCATTTTTCATATCACCCGAAAATATGCTATCCAATGATTTAGGTCCTGCATTGGTTAGAGGTATTGGAAACTCATACGGTTCCAAATATGTGGAAGCAGTGATTGTACATGATCTTGTGTAGATATTGGATGGCGATGAAGAAAATACATCGTCTTCTTGAAGAAATGTTTCTGACATTAAGAGCTCTTTCTTGATTCCAAAGTAGTTGGCGTACTGGATGATTTCTCGAGCATTTTCCGAAGTAGCTGGGTTTTGAAGGAAAAAAGCATGGCACTTGCTTTGAAGTCCAACTACCTCAAAGAATTGAGAAATAGCGTACATTTCTAAGGCTAGTTTCCAACTGAGAAAGTTGCATGATCCAGAGAATAAGAAACTGAAAAGAATAAAATTTATGTTAGGTTATTTGATTATAAGCATGATTATTTCAAGCAATGCCAGTATGTTTAAAAGTACGCATACACATGTTTAAATAAAATATTTTGAAGCTGGCAAAAAAGAGTGAAAAGTTACTATAAAAATAAAAGTAACAAAAAGAAATAAAACATCAAAGAAAAGAATTTTCTCCTGTAATGGATACTAAAAGAAACAGGCCCACTGGATAATAATAAAACAAGTAAAATGTGTGTATAATAATACAAAACATTTATTAAAGATGAAAGTGAGATCCAAAAATTTAGAAACATTTTTCTGTGAATTTTATGTCAGCTTTTGTGAAACATGAATAATTTGAAATTTACAACATAGAAAAAAATATTATTCCAGTATTAGTGACGAAATCCTCGTAAAGCAACTTTTGCATACGTGTTCTAGTCGTTTTTGTTGTGCATATCGAAGCGCAGGCAATACAAACTGGAACTCACTAAGGACTATATTTAATCACTATCATGATCAATGACCTCTTGTTATCTTTCCGGTTGACAATGAATCTCACCCCATTAAACTCCTGAGGTTTCGAGTTTAAGAACTTTTCACAGCCTCCACATCACCAAAGGTTTTCCCAATGAAGGAGTTTTGCAAAGCGCAAGAAAAGGGGAAGCCTGTGGGGGATATGACAGGCAAATACGGAGAATAAGGTAAAACCTTTCAACCAAAGTCTAGTAATTTCTGACGTATCAACACATCAGTATGTGGCTTAGCGTTATCATGTTGGATCATAAACTCTTGGCGACAAGGTAAAACGTCATGACTCGATAAGTTGCACTCGGATAATGTGGAAGCCAGTGACCAAAATTTGTGGTGAAAGCCATTGCTGCAAGACTTCTTTCCACTGTTGTTCTGTGTACCTGGAAGGTTTCCACTAATTCCTCTACAACTGAATTTGAACTAACTGTTATGTCTTAGCTCAGATTTTCTTTAGAAAATGCAGATGGATGGCCAGACCGTGGTTGATCTTGAAAGCTTCTGTCACCGTCCTCCAATTTTCGTAGCAACGATATGTGCTTTTGATACACTTGACTAATAATGCAGGTGAAAGTGGGTCCGGACACCCGGGGGGCTTACATAGACTAATCAGGTATTGTCCGAATGCCGCAACTATTTAGTGAAAAATCCCCTGAGCCTTACAAGGAACGCATGAGGAGTTTATTAAGATGCTACATATGCATACATTATATAGATACATAGATGCTAAATACTTTATTACATACTGCACAGATACTAAAAACGAATGTTGACATAGCTTCAAAGTAATAATGCCAGTCGTTACACAAATCCACAGACAGACTAATATTGCAGCAGCCCAAAGCTGCAGAACTGCTCTTATCAAACACAAACGGAAAGCAGTGTCTTATGTGATTTTTATTGGTATCCATTTGATCGGCACAGCACTATTCCACTAGTCCGTACTCATTTCTTGCTGTTGTTATAATATTCTCCGATAAAATGACAAACAATTCCAGTTCTTGGAGCACCACCTTTGAGCTCTTGGAACACATCAGCACCTTTCTTCAGCGACCTATCACAAATGGAGCTGTGAAATTTGATAATTCGATTATTTATACTTACAGTATTAAAAGAATTATAAAAATTATAACGCAGTTTAATATCTAGAATAAAGAGAAAACTCTTATATTTATAAATGAGATCAGAATTTTCCTGGCTTAGATTTTATATGATTTTGTTTTACAATGAATTTTTTTTCCCGAAATCATGGAAACGTAGTACTTGAATGAAAATTTTCTGTTAAGAACAAAGTACGGTCAAAAGAGAAATCTAGATTAAGCATCAAGGAAACAAAGGCTTTGGTAAATTATGATACACAGTAGTAGTGTCATGGAGAATGTGAGAAATTTTTTGATAAAGTGTGGAAAGACAAAAGTTCAGAGAAATATAGTTCAAATCTAAGTATGCCTAAATTTTTATACGGCTTCTCTTATTTAAAAATAACAGGAAAACTTAACAGGTAAATTTGATAAAATATTTTCTTTCATCTTTTTTGTCATTATTAAACTTTGTGCTGTTTGTGTCGTCCCAATGTGCCTTTACTATCCCGTGGAAATATCATCAGTCTGTTCGCGGAAATATAATCTGTCAAAGAATAAAACCAGTAACAAAACAATCGAAATTATCGCATCGAAAAACTACAGCTTCCAGTGTTCATAATAATTAATAAAAATAATTAAATTGACAGCTGCGAGAGTAATTCTTTAAGAACGTAATCAGTTCGATCACGATTTCCAAGTGGTACAGGTCCATAAAATAATACATAAATAAGCAAATGCATATAAGGTGGTTCAAATATGACCAAAAAATTGGATTTTTTGTTTTACTAAAACTTTTATTGAGAATAAAAGAATTGAAGATGTCACCCTTCAACGAATTCCCCTCAAGAGTCAATATAATTTTGTTAATGTTCTGGAAGTATTTTCATGCTTTTTAGCCGGCAGTACGAGAAAGTGGTTAGTGACCCTGACTGCCGTACCGAAGGGCCCGGGTACGAATCCCAGAGAAGGCATATATGTAAATTTGTCTCTCCCTTCCCATGAAGCAACAGTGGCCCAGCTATTAAGTGCCTCCATTAAAAAGTAGCCACAGCTTCCGGCCTTAGTAGTGGCCAATGCCTATAATGGCTAGTGCCACCACTGGGGAAAAAATCATACTACTTTCAAAGGAGTTTTTCCAAATGTCTGTGAATTCACTCCTAACACTGATGGCATCGATATCCACAAATTGCGTGTCTTCCAAGTGGGATTTAAGCCTGGTGTTTGGCATTGAAGTAATGGACCCATGTTTCATTGCCGTCACTACAGACTTCCAAAATACATTCCTTTCATTTTTAAGCCGCTGTAAGGGAGAACAGGCGGTCTGCAAGCGCATCACTATGTTCTCGTCTGTCAGCGTGGATGGGGATTTCAACTGGGCAAACACCTTGACATAGTGCAAACGTTTTTCAGAATGATTTTCAGAATGATGCGGCAATTTATCTCGCTTCATATGCATTGGCTGACGGATGAAGCCACAGTTTGAAGGTTACGGCCGGCAATTAGAAGAGCATGGAGGTATTACAAACAGTATTCGTGGAAAACCCTCCCTAATAAAAAATCATAAGGGATTAAAAGAGATCAGTGTCGTCAACATAATAAACATTTCTGTGTAATTCCATAACTAAGTTGATGCAACAAATGCACCCGCACAGTACCTACTTCGAAGTGGGGCACAAAATGCTAGTCACTACAGTTTTCGCGATATGTGTTTGTGAAAACAAGTAAGAATGCAAATAATAATATTATTTAGCTGCCGCATTCCGAGCATTTCACTAACAGACACGTGACGAACGAGCTTGGATAAAACTTGCCAGTTTTGTCAGGTTAAATTTTTGTTTTTTTCTGCAGGCAATTTTGTACTTTCGTATGTGTATAGTGTAGTGGTTTGTAGTGTTAAGCTTTTATGTACTTGTAGAATATTTCGCTTAGTACTTTTTAATATATTGCTTGAGTTTTATAGTAAAATTTTAATAATTAATTCCATATGCAACGAATTCTTAGATTTTTATTATTCCCTGTTAAATGTTTGATTAGGCAAAACATAGGAATATGGAATACGAGGGTATTCAAGAGAATGATACTTCCTAACATGCTTGCATTCACTCTAAAAATAATAATTAGTTTAAATATTAACAGTATTTTATCACAGTTTTATTCTTGTGCAGGCAACATATAAAAATAATATTTCGTTTAGTTCTAATTTAAAAATGTCTAAGCAGCTGTGGGTACACAAAAGAGAAATAAATATAAGGAAACGAAGTTGGAAGAATGAAAATCATTGTCACAGCATGATGTTAAATGGCTAAGGATAAGAAACAGCAGGAAACTGAGGGAGTGCGGAAGTCACTAAGAAGTCAAATCCACTGCTACTTCACAAGTTCTTGATGCAACACTTCATTTGACATCCACCCTTTTAATATACGAGAATTTTCAGGGAAAACAAATAACAAGGAGCCACTGAAGAAGAAAGATTTACTGTTTCAGATAATATTTTACTACATTTGTCCCATAATAATTCAAAGCATGATCCTGCGGAAAGTACTGTTTCACAAATTGATGATACCGTACAAAATATAGGCTCCACTGTTCCAGATGAAAGAATGCTAAATTACAACTATTCCTATTCTCAGCCTGCTATTACAAATAAATTAATATATTCCCTTGACACATCGAAATTCGTATGTGAAGCCACACAGCTGTTCGCTGAGGAGCTTCCGTGACAGTCGATCCCACTCTTGCAGCAAGGCCGTTTTCAATTCCGGGATGGTTCTCGACGACCACTTGAGCCATATGTAGACGAGCATAGTCGTCCATTAAACAGGAAGCCTCTGAAAAGTCGTACATGTGCCTCTGAAACAGTGCAACAGTGCCTCTGAAAAGTCGAACATAGGACTATAAGAACTCCCTCTTTATACCTCATAGCACACAGAAAACTTTTGTCAAACACCAAAAGGGTGTGCGGCCGTCCAACATAGTGCCTGCTCAGATCATTACACCTCGTAATGGTCGTTACCACCGTCGAAATGAATCTTTTCTCTGATGAGGGGTAGAAATTATCGTGTTCCACGCTCTCTGCAAATACAGGTCCGCCAAGAATCAGTGTCCAGGCTGAATCTCAACTCATCTGTAAAAAGCATGGTGTTCCACTGAAGTCTGGTCCAAAGCGCATATTGACTGTGCTAAACGCGCTCTCTTGTGTACTGCAGTGAGCGGAACGCAAACAGAGGGTCTTCTGGCATACAGCCGTATCTCAAGAAGCCTTCGATTAACTATAAACCGTGAAATTTGAGTTTCAGGTGCAGCATAGAGCTTAACGTGACAGCTGTGAAGCTGTAGCAGTCCTGTGTCTCCGCATTGGGAGGGCTAAATAACGTTCTTGATTCGTCGTTAC